TCTCTGGGAGGCGGCATACACGGTGTCTAGAGGATGACGTTGTTGGACGAGCTGGCATTCTTGTATTCCAGAGGTGGCAAATTTGATAAGAAGGTTAAGGCATAGCTCAAAAATGAGGAGAATTATAGCAACTAAAGGTCTGGTGAGAAGTAAAAACCAGGTGATCACAGGAGGGACTAATTTCACAGTGTCCTGGACTAGGTTGGAGGCAGGTGCGTCACACCTGTCTAAAGCCCTCTTGTCCACCATACTTGATTCAAATTAGGCTCGGGATTATGTTAAGATCCCCCCTGAAGGACTGTGGCCTTTTCTATTTGAACCATTTGGGCAGGAAAGTGAAAGCAGCTTCAAGCAAAGCCGACAGACTGCCCACACTTCACCAGCTTAGCCGTCTAGTCCTGACAGCCAGTCCATCCAGCCAAACCGTTGAGTCTCATTCCAGGAGACAGTGATGCAGATGGGCTTCTAAAGTGAGGCCTACACTGTGTAAACAAGCACTCAGGTAAATAAGGTCATAGGCATACGTTCTACGAGAACAGATGGAAAAAATAACCAAGGTTAATGCACACAGCAAATCATAAGCCAGTTTCTGAGTCTGCAAGACTATCAGTTGAGAAGACTTCCAAATGCCAGACTTTTGCTGGAATGATCAAGCAGTGACAATCTGATAGACAGTCTTTGTCTGCAGTTGGATCATCTTTGCTGATGTCATCAGGTGCTGAGGTAAATTCCATATGGCATACACACAGCCTTAGGGAAAAACTTTAGTTCTCAATAATTCCTAGTCCAAAGATGGGAGAAAATGATACATTAACTTAGAGAGTTGGAGAAAACTAGAAGAATTTAGGAACCAGTTCAGCTTATAGGTGAAAAACAAAACGTTTAAGACAATTAACTGCACTAGATCCAATATCCACAGCTGGGTATTATGATTTCCTCTGAAACATAGTTTTTTCCCCGAAAATTACCGTAATTTCCATCAGAGATGCATTAAGTCCCGTTTTAATTTGGCCTGATTATTTGCATAAACACAAGTATAGCGATTGGTTATACAGGCTCTTTGAATCTGCTCTCCAGGAGTCTTACAGGGAATCTTTAGATTGAGCTTTAGGCGGCCCCTCAGAGCAAAGAAGCCAAGCCACACAGCTGCCACGGGGCTCTTCCTGTAATACCCATAGGTTTGGGTGAATCCTGAAGTCCTGGAGGTCCCCCAAGTGTCTTGAGGTTCCTTCCTTGCTGTCTTTCAGGAAAGCAACCCTGTTCCTTACCTGGAAAAGCTGCTATGAGCCATGTGACTAGGTAAGGCGCCAGGCCAGCTCTGCAGTGGCTTCTATTAGCTTCGGAGGTCAAGCTACCATTTAAAATTGATGGACAGATAAGGAGCTTTCCAGACAAGAAGAAATTGACGGAGTTCACCACCACCAAACCAGCATTAAAGGGAATTCTCTAAGAAGAAGAAATAAAATGAAAAATAGGAATAATAGAATAACTACATAATTATTGATAATTATTTTAACTGTAAATGGATTAAATGCTCCAATCAAAAGACATAGGGTAGCTGAATGGAGACGAAAATAAAATGTATATATATATGCTGCCTACAAGAGACCCACTTCAGGTTGAACAACACAGACAAAGTAAGGGGATGGGAAAAGATGTTTCATGCAAATGGAAACAAAAAAATCTGGGGTAGAATACTTCTATCGGACAAAATAAATTTTAAAACAAAAGTTATAATAAGAGATAAAGAAGGACCCAGCAAGCCCACTTCTGGGTGTTTATCCAAAGAAACCCAAAACATGAATTTGAGATGAAAGATGCATCCACGTGCTCACTGCACCATTATGTACAACAGCTGAGATATGGAAATAACCTAGGTGTCCAGCAATAGGCAAGTGAATGAAGATGTGGTATAAATATGTATGTATGTGTAATGGAAGATTAGTCATCTGTAGAAAAGAATGAGATCTTGCCCTGGCCTGTGTTGCTCAGTGGTTAGGGAGTCAGCCCACACACTGAAGGGTCCGAGGTTTGATTTCCAGTCAAGGGCACTACCTGGGTTGCAGTTCAATCTCCAGCTCCATTTGAGGTATGTGTGTGTGTAATCAATTAGAGACACACTAATCAATGTGTGTCTCGCTTCCATGTTCCCCTCTCTCCTCCCCCTCTCTTCCTCCCACTCGCTCTAAGAAATCAATGGGAACAATATCCTCAGGTAAGGATTAATAAAAAGAATGAAATACTGATATTTGCAACACATGGAGACCCCTGTGTCATTTCGTGCAGCTGGACTTCACTCGTTCTCACTGTTGTAGAGTAGGCCACTATAGGGGACACCATGGTGGAGTGAACCATTCTATTGCCATTCCAGTTTGAGAGCGCACACACTTCTTAGGGTAAATACCTAGGAGGGAGATTACAGACTCGCGGGGTCCACATACCCTAGCAGCTAGGGCTAATGCCAGGCCCTTTCCCCAAGTGGCCGCCCCCCGCGCCCCCCGCATCGGCATGAGGGCCTGCCCGCCTCCCCCGCCCTCGGTGAGCGCGCCGAGTCCTACCCCTGGGCTTAGTGTGTCCTCTCGGTTTCTATTGCGTTCAGCGCCTTCATTATCAACAAGTGTGTATCGGTCACTTGGATTCTTTTGTGAAATTCCTGCTCGGGTGTCCTGCCCCTTCGTTAACTGATTGTCTTCCTTTCCTGTCGTTCGCCGATTCTGGCATTACTTGTCGCAAATACCTCTTCCCGCTCGGTGGCCGCCTTCC